TGGGGTGGGCACATGGAGCCACCTGCCAAAGGGTTAAGGCACCTGCCCAAGTGTCCCAGAGTGGGAAGGGCTGGTTTCAAATCCCAGTCATCTGGATCCAGAGTCTAGCTCTCTGAGATGTCACAAAGCACTGCCTAGGAAAGAGTTGAAAGGAACTGAGCACTGGATTCTAGTTTGGGCTCTGTTCTACCTCTCTGTGGCCTGGATGAGACTGGGTCTCAGTTCCCCCTTTACACAATGAGAAGATGGGCATATTCTAGGTAGACAGAGCTTCTTTGTTCCCACTGCTACCCTCGCCTTTACCCCAAATAAACCTGGCGCCGATGGCCAAAGCCCCAGTCATGGAGACACTGAGTCCTTGAAGATGGACAGACACCTCACACTTCTCAAGAGTCAGAGATGCTGGCTTGAGAAATCCTTGGGACTGAGTAAAAGGAATAAATACAGTGCCTAGGGCAAGCACCAGATTCCACTTCTTCAGACAAACAATGGTCCAAGTCTAACAGGGTTGACTACAAGAGCAGCTCATCCAGTCAAGCAAACCAACAAAGAATATTTGCTTAGGAGCACTTTGCAAGAAAAAGCAGTTGTTCAGCAGTGGTTAGAGTACATGGTAACTCATGTAGATGGACACTTCAATGAAGATGATGTCTGCACTCTCCTAAAGGATCTTAATTTATGTCTTGAAGATAAAGTCTACCCCACAGGCTATAACTTTATGTTAGCAGATATCCTGTTATACTATGGACTTCATCATTTTATAGTTCAATAGATTTTAGTAGGTTTTTTTTTAAATTTAGAATGATGACGCTGGCACACCTTACCTCATTTCAAAACAAAACAAAAAAAAAAGCCTGCAAGGTTGACCTCACAGCTCAAGAAAAGGAGAAGTGTCTTATCACATTCAGCATTGTCCGGGCATCAGGCAACATCTGCCCCGTGTCATCTTCATCAAAAACAGACTGCGTACCAATTCCCATTAGAAGCTGCCCATGCCCTACAGAAGAGACGTTAAAAATGTCGCAAATGGAATGACATAATCGCTATGCAGTCATTATTTGTTGGCATAGAAGTTAAAATTTTAGAAGTGTCAACTTATGTTTGGATGCTTTTTCTGTCCTTTAGTTGAAATTTTGCATTTTTTCATGTAAAAATTTCAACTGCTGTCCCCCGCAAAATGTGAGTTGAGATCATGTTATAAATCACCTTGTTTTATAGAGGAAATTTATTTTAATAAAAGTTGCAAATCAGTGACTGAATCTTAAAGGAAAAACTAGATGGCCCTCTCGGTGCTTGACGTAGTTGGCTATTTATTAACCTGTTTCATATTTTAAAATGCATTTTCCCCCAGTGGATATTTAGCTAGTTTATTAAGATCTATAATAAAGTGTGCCAAGGATATAGAAAGGAAGCGAGGTAAATTTGTTTTCAGATACTTATGTGAGCTAGTAAAAACATGGTCGGAAAAAAGAGTCAGAGATGCTTTCCTGGTAAAACCCCCTCCAGTCCCCCTGAGAGACTAGTGCCTCAGTTTCTCCTCCCTATGTACTCCTGGCATTCCCTGGCCCAGGGTTCAAAGACCCCACCCCTGGGGTCAGATTGCCCCCTTCCAACCCAAGCATTTGGGTCCCTGCTTAGGCAAGTACCTTCACAGACCATTCCTTATGCAGGTAGAGGCTGTCTCTGACCTCCTGGGTCTCCACACTGGGTGAAGAAATCCCTCTGTTCCCCTTCCCACCCCACCCAACTCTACTCCACCCATGGTTCTTCAAGCCTGGGAGACTCCACCCAGAGTCTCAGAAAAACAAAATCAAGGGAAAACAGTGAACAAGGAGGAGAGAGCTCATTACCAGAAATTAAGGAGGAGACTTGCCCTAAGGTAAAACAGAGAGCGACTGGACTGGTAGGAGTCACTGAGAGGTGGATACAAACATGGGATGTCTTCTGAGTACATACAGAGACATGCTCTGAGCTGCATGAGGGACACAGGATGGCTCACTTAAAGGTCTGCAAAGTGGCCCAGAAGCACAAACTCAGACATACTGAGAGAAAGCCAAGCATCCCCAGACTCTGAAATGTGCACACATGTAGGTGTGCGCAAGCACGCACACACACACGCACACACTGAGGCAGGCACTCAAAGAAACAGGAAGCAAATTCAAGTTTTTGCAAAGCTGATTTCAATCCAAACAAGTCAGAACTTTAAGGAAACTTGGACTGCTCCACAGTGAACTTTGGGGAAGCATTGACCCAGGAAGAAAGGACAGGGATGAGGGACAGGTTCTGGCTGCCCTCCATGTGACAATTCGATCTCCATGTCCACCTTAGAAAATAGATTAGGTAGAATCTCCTAAAGGAGATGTGATTTCTTTCTAGAACTTTCTACCAGCCAATGGGGAGGGAGTGTGGGAAGCTTTCCTCTTGCTCCTAGAAGAGCCACAAAGCTGCTAGACAGTTCCTGTCCCTACTAAGTCCTGCTCTGACCCACTATACCTGACCTTATCCCTTATTACATGGTCTGACTCTCCTTTCAGCCTGCTCCCCTTGCTGTAGGCTCCTCTGTACTATATCTGTGTTTGACTCCTCTTCTCTCCCTTCTATTTCTTCCGAAAAGCTTCCTAAAGTCAAGGCACATCAGCCATCACCTCCTCCTTTCCCCCACCTCCAGGAAATTCAGAATCGGTGAAATAAATCTGAGGAGGAAGAGGATGTTGAATTCAATGACCTTTAAAACACTGCCTTCAGCATCTCCCCTCCTCCAGCCCCACCTCCTCTGGTTCTGTAGGAAAACTCATGCGGTGACATTTTTTGAGTATTTGCCAACTGCTCGCCTGTATACTAAGTCCTTTCATGAATTATCTTCTTTCATTTCATTCTCTTGTTATTCCCAATTCACAGATGAGAAACTAAGGTTCAAGAAAAGAGAAGGACCACCCCAAGGTTACACAGCTAGAGTGGTTGGGCTGGGCCTAGGGTCCAGGTTCAATTACTCATTAACACTGCACCTAAAGGCCTCCTGCCATTCCCTGGACTGAGCAGTCAGGGACAGCTAGAGATCTGACAGAGTGAGGACAGATGGACCTGAGGTGTAATGAAAAGGACAGGTCAACAGCAAGGCAGGGGACCCAAACTGGAATGAAACTCTACAGTCACATTCCCCCCAAGATTCGCTCTTCCTCTCTCCAGGGCCTGGGAAGGGGACACTCCCTCTGGTTCAGGTGCCTCCAGCATTCCAGACACACCTCTTGGGAGCTGTGGACAGGTAGGGGGTGGGGACCTGAGGTGGACTTGCTTCTCCCACCCCCATTTCCCCAGGCTGAGCCCTAGCAAGGTAACCCTGGGTTTGCCATCCACCCTGTGTTGGCTATGCTCTCATCTGGGGACCAAAAGCTGGTTTTGCTTCTAAAATCCAGACCCAGAAACCCTCTGGTTCCCATGTGGTTAAGCTCTGAAGGAGGGCATGGGTAGGGGACACTTTCTACTTTATCCCCAGTGAAACTTGAGAGTATTTGCTAAGGAGGGAAATCTGTTAAGGAAGGAGAAGGTGAGAAGAGAGGCACATGACCTCCTGCAGAACTTCCTGGACTCAAGTATGTCCAGTTTACTTGGATGGTCAGTGTGCCAGGGCCAGTGGGCCCAACCCCTGCCTTACTGGAGGTGTCTTAGACTGAAGAAATGGGGCAGAGGAAGGGGTGGGGAGGTTACCCGAGGTTTCTGGGCTCAAATAACTGACTATAGCTGATGGTGGAAGAGTGGGGAAGAGCAGGCGAGAGAAGGGGCATCGAGCAGATCAGGAGACTTTCAATGAGCAAAGATTGGCAGATAGGAAGAAGCACAGGAGAACACAACGCAGTCCGAAATGGATGGAGCATTATAATAAAGAGGTGGTGACCCTAATGACAGAGGCCAGATCCTAGAGGGCCTAAATGCTGGATATAAAGGGTTTGGAGACTATCCCAACGGCCAGGAGAACCATAGAAACCACAGACAAAAAGTGTGTTTCAGGAAAATCCTTTGAAGTGACTAGGGTAAGCTGGCTGCTGATGAGGTTGTGGCCAAGGTCTGGCTTGAGGTGATAGAACCTGAATAGCTAAAGGTTGGAGAAAACATATGGGTCCCTGGTCTCTTTGATCTCCCCCAGTGACAGGGAGCTCATGATTTCTTAGGCAGCAGCTCAAGCCTGCCTTCCTGGGCTGATGGGTGGCTGCAGAGATCTGGAAGGCGTTGCCGTGCACTATGCTGGCAGCACACAGGATGGAAACTTGAGGGAAAGTTTGGGCCAGCTGAGTTGGAGCTGAGAGGCTTGATGAAGACGGTCTCTGATCTCTCTCTGTGTCTGACCCCAGTCCTCAGGGCAGAATTGGGGAGGACTGTCCCCCGCCCCCAGGATACCCTGGCCAGGTTAATGAAGGCATTCTGGGTAGTTGTGAAACTCCTTATCTGGCCCCAGCGAAGCAGCAGAATTAGCAGAGATATTGCACAAGTGGCAGTTTGGGGCATACGTTTTATTGTTTTGTTTTTTTACAAAAGACAAAGGAGTACATACATTGAGTGGAGGATTAAAGGAGTGAGGACCCTATTTGGAGCAAAGTCTCTCAACCTCTACCTCTAAGACTGTATGTAACATTTGATATACATTTTTTTAAAAAAAGCAAACATGAAACTTATGACCTAGACTTCATCCCCACCCACTCAGCCATAGATTTCTCAGACCAGAAACACATTACATGTCTCCTACGTATGTAAAGTCAGAACTCCAAACCCAGTTTGTGATTCCTTTCCTCCAGCCCCACCCCTACTCCAACCCAACCTCCTCAAAAGCCTATAGAAATCCCACTTACAAAAAAAAGGGCAGACACACATACTCTGAAACATATCTATCAGGACCCTCCTCCACAGGGAGCCGCTGAACCATGCACATCCCTGGCACTTTCCTTACTCAAATATGTGCACAGCGCCCTTCCTCTCTCTGTGGGCTTCCCACACAGCTAGAATCATTTACACACACACATGCACACATGCACACACACATCTGCTGCCCATTTTCCCCCTTTGTGACACAAAGGGAAGTGTTGGCCCTGCTCCCTGTCCCACCATAGCTTAAGGGCAGTGGCCTGAGGTCCCATTTGAGCAGGGTCCAGTGGAAAATCCTTAAGGGGGCTCTGTCCATCGAGGTGTAGGTAGGCAGGAAGCTTTTTAGCCTGGGAGGGAGGTCACGAGGGGTGTCTAAGGAGAGGCCCTTACAAAGTCAGTGGGTGCTCAAGGAAGGAGGGAGTGGAGGCAGCCCCTGCCCACTCAGATCTGCTCCTTGTGCTTCATGTGGGCCAGTTTCACATTCTCCTGCTCCGTGGAAGGTGGGGGCTGTTCCAGGTGGCAGCCAATCATCAGCTGATACACGAAGACCCCGGCAATGGAGCCCAAGAGCGGGGAGACAATGGGTACCCACCACCAGTGCTTGCCGGTCCTGGAGAACAGACAGACGTGTTCAGGGGCAGGCAACGCAGGGCAGAGGGGAGGTAGGCTGGGGCAAGCTGGGGTGGGGGCTACACTCACGTGAAGACTTCAGAGCCCCAGCCAGCGATGGCGGTGAAGAGGCGGGGGCCAAAGTCTCGGGCAGGGTTGACAGCATAGCCAGAGTTGAAGCCCATGGAGGTGCCAATGACCAGTACCACCAGGCCCACGGTGAAGGCCTCCAGGCCACGGGGGACAGGGTTGTTGTAAGGGTCAACAATGGCCAGTACACACACAATGAGGGAGGCTGTGCCAATGAACTGGAGAGTGGGAGAGCACAGGGGTGAGCAACAGCTCCCATCCACCATCGGATCCTTCCTCTGGCCCCTCTAGCTCCTTGAATCTCATCATTGAATCCACAAGAATTCCTGAGTGTACAAGGATCCCCTGGGGAGGGTATTGAATATACAAGATTCCCAAGTACCTGCCAGCATGATTGTGATGTAGACATGCCCACATATTGAGAAACCCCACTGTAGAGGAGGAGTCCTGTCCCCTAGCCAGCCCCTGAACAACCTGGGGAGCTTGGGCTTCTCCCTCTGTTCCCCTTACATGTCCCCAGTCCCATACCTGGTCGAAGAAGCCATTGACCATATCCAAGTGTCCAGAGGGATAGGTGGCGAAGATACCAGCTGTGCCGTTGGGGCCCGAGACTATAAGCTCATTGCTGGCAAAGGCCCAGATGGCATCTGGTGAAAGATTAGACTCAGAGCAGGTGAGGGCAGAGGCCTGAGCCCAGCCTCCCCTCTCATCCCTGCCCTTCCCCCCACCCTCCCAGGGGTCAGAAGTGAGTATAATCACTGCTGTATTACTTTGAAGCTGGAGAGGGTGGGGTGGGTGGGGTGGAGGGCCCAAGCTCTTGTTGCCCAACTTGTTTCTCTCCCCAGGGCCCCCCACCTAGGGCCTGTGTGTGAATGGGTGAGTCATGAGCCCAAGGCCTGGGCAGGCCATGTCAGCGAAAGGCCTGGTGCCAGCAGGTTGGGAGCCAGAGAGGAGGGGGGCGTGGAAGAGGGTGGGGGTGACTTACCATAATACAGCCCAAAAACGATCCCAGCACCCAGGAAGGCTCCCAGCGTCTGAGCCAGGGTGTAGATGGGCAGCTTGATCCAAGGCTCACGTGCCAGGAAGCACATGGCAAAGGTCACAGCAGGGTTTAAGTGGGCCCCTGGGTACAGAGTAGACGGGACCTATTAGCCACAGACTGCCATAGTGGAGAATCCAGGGCCCCTGATATCCTCCTGTCTGGCCCCAGTGAGCAGGGGTGTCCAGTAGGGTCTCTTGTACTGGATCCTTGCCTATAATAGGCTAACCCTGATCATTTCTGATTCCAAGGTGAGAACTGAAGGTTCCATGGGTCAAGTTCTAAACTATGTTCCCTTCTCCACCCTTCTCTCCCAAGGGCCCAAAGCTGGGCCACAGCCCTTGGGAATGCCTCCCTCATCCCATTCCCTCGTAGGATGCTTGATGAGACTGCTGTCAAGGGACAGAGACTTTGGACGGTGTTGAAAGTCTTACCAGAAACCTGACCAGCAATGAGGATGCCCAGAGTGACAGCAAAGCCGAAGGCCAGGTTGATGGTAAGGAAACCTCCATGGGTGCCTCTGCTGAGCACAACCTGGGCCACAGAGCCACAGCCAAACATCTGTGACAGGAAACAGAGCAAGGCAAGAAGGGTTAGGCCCAGAGAAACCCAGAATTCTCACTGCAACCCAAATACCTTCTGCTGCAATGGTACCCCAGTGTGGTCACTCTAATATCACAGTGCCCTAAGGACTGAAAGGAGTCCCCGGGTGGCACTGTGAGATAAAGCACTGGACTGCAAGGATGGTTTGAATCACAAGGTCGGTGGTTCAAACTCACCAGCTGCTCTTTGGAAATCCTATACTGAGTCACTATGAGTCAGAACTGACATGATGGCATTTAATAACAACATAGACCAAAAAGGAACCCTGGTGATGCCATGGATTAAGCATTGGACAGCTAAGCAAATGTCAGTGGTTCAAACCCACCAGCTGATCTTCAAAGAGAAAGATTAGGCTGTCTGCTTACATAAAGATTTACAGCCTTGGAAACTCTAGGAAGAAGTTCCACTCTGTCCTATGGGTAACATCGGAACTGATGGCAGTGGGTTTATGGATTAGAAGCAGAGCCTGACACTTAGAACCCAGAAACCTGAGTTCCACAGTCTGCTTGGAACCTTGATGGGCTTAAATCCCAGCAGCAGTGAAGCTTCTCCCCAGCCCTTCAGGCCTGGCCCAGAGAGCTGGAGAGGCTTGCACCCTGAATCCTCCCGCTGCTGTGGCCTCAGAAGAGAGGTTGAAGTGACTTCCTCTGAATCTGGGATGTCAGCCCCTGTCCCCAGTATTCACAATGTCCCTCTCTCTGTACCCTCACAACAGGTCCCCCTTGATCTGCCCCTGTCAAGGGGAGCCTCCTCTCTCTACTATCCTGACCTCTCTGCCCTCAGCAGTCCAGGGTGCCCACTCAGCTCCTCACACTACTCCGAGTCCAGTGAGGAGACTGGTTCTGAGCTTTCTGACAAGGACAAGGGGGTTTAAAGGGAGCTAAGGTATACTCCTCATGTTCTACAAGTACAGAAGGTACTGTATGACTGCCATTTAGTGATGAGCTCTTGCCCCAAGCCTCCGAATGCTCCCCAAAGTGCTCCAGCCCCAGGCCTGGGTCTCCTCTCTCAACTCCCTATAGCTTCCAGACCCTCCCTCAGTGCTAAGGGTCCTAGTGCATCCCAACGGGTCAGTGTCCTGGCTTGTTAAGTATTTTGATTATCATCCCTCAAAAAGAGATAGTGGGGGTGTCCGAGACAAAAAAGGAGGCTAAAAGTGTGCGGGCAGGTGAGAACAAAGATCAGAGATCTGTGGGTGTATTGGCAAGGGGCAGACAAGACACATGGGGTATGGGCCATCCTGCCGGCTTGGCAAGCCCTGACCTCAACTCCTTGTCTGCCTGAGGCCCAGACCTGGCTTTATCCCAGAAGGCCTTGGAGGGAGGAGTTGTCAGAGCCAGTTCTACTACCTTGGGGCTGATTTTCCTCTTCCTCTCCCCAGTCTTCTTGGCTGGCCACCCTCTCCCACTAGGTACCTCAGAGAAAGGGGCTTCTCTCACCTCAAAGCCAGCCCTGATTCTGCCACTGCAGTCTGGGAGACCCCACCCACAGAAGTCTGCAGGCAGACCCTCACCCCCACTCTGGTCTCTCCTATTCAGGCAGTCCTTGAGCTTTTCACTGACACCTGATGCCTCAGGCCCACCCGAGCCGGAAAACCAGCTCCACAAACATGACACCCTCCTTTTGTGGCCTGGGATAAGCCAAATAATCCTGGGGTGCAGCCTGAGGACGGATTGCTCTTTTGTGGGGGGAGGGGAACTGAGACATGGTAAACCATGGGGACTCCCATCTAGAATATGGACTATGCCATCCCTGCCCCGGTGGCTCTAAAACAACCACAGACCCATGACCCATACTGTGGACAGTAGGGCACACAGACCTGAGGCAGGAGGGTGAGAAAAGCCTTTCCCAGTTCCCTTTCTGTCATAGAGGAGGGAGGACTGTAGGCCACTGATCCTGTGAGGGGCTGTGAACAAAGTGACCTACCTGACTTGCCCTCCTTCCTGCTTTCCACAGCCAGAGGGTGAGTCTTAGCCCTCCTCTCCCGGCACAGCTTTTCTCACCACTGCCCCTCCATTAGGGTGAGTCACCCCCAGCCCTGGAGCCTTATTGGCACATTCGTTAAAAGGTTGATGGTTTGAATCCACCAGCTATTCTATAGGAGAAAGAGGTTGTACTCTGCTTCTGTAAAGGTTGATAACCTTGGGTACCCTATGTGCAGTTCTTCTCTGTCCTAAAGGATCACAATGAGCTGGAATCAACTTAATCTCAGTGGTTTGGGGCTTTTGGTTGGCTGTTAATTTATTTTATTCTCTTATCCCCAGCTCTCAGAGCCCTGGTAGGGCAATGGTTAAGCTTGGCTACTAACCAAAAGGTTGGCAGTTTGAAGCCATCCAGCAACTCTGTAGGAAGAAAGACCTGGCAATCTGCCCCTATAAAGACTGTTGTTGTTGTTGTTAGGTGCCATCAAAACACTGCCCGATCCTGGGCCAACCTCACAATTGTTGTTATGTTTGAGTCCATTGATGCTGCCATTGTGCCTATCCATCTCGTTGGGGGTCTTCCTCTTTTTCTCCAACCCTTCACTTTATCAAATCTATAAAGATTACAGACTAGAAAATGCTATGGGACAGTTCTACTCTGTGGAATGGGATAGCTCTAACTTTATTGACTCCACAGCACCTAAGAAGAATCCCCACCCCTATTTGATTACTGTGAAGACTCCTAGACCACAGCTTCCTAACCCTCAGGGCACTGGCTGGTCTATATTGCCCCAGATTGCTGGGTAAAAAGCCAAGTAACCTAACCATTTGGAGCAATGGAGAAACGGAACCAGAAGTAACCTAGAAGAAAACAGATGTAACCACCTGAGTAACTAAAAGTCAGAGAATAACTGAGACATGGAGACCATAACTGGTGTGTTTGCCAGAGCCAAGAAGTGCAAACAGAGGCAGCCAGGAACAACCCAAGGAGAAACTGACTTAGCCAGGGAGTTGCTAGGGCTCAGAGTAAGTAGCCCAGGTAGGGAAAGCTTGTTGACTCAGAGAACCCAGGGAGTAACACGGAGAGCCTGGGTAATTGGAAGGTATACAGGACCTGCAGCATCTGCCCTGACAGGTAAGCAACGTCCTCTGTCCCAGCTCAGCTCACTTGGGCCTCTGAACCTTCAGGAGCCTCCTTTCTGCGGTTTTGTTGTTTGCTGTCTGTCGGGCCTCTGCCCTCTGCCCCCACCTGTGACAAACTGTCCTAACTTCACTGCAACTTTTGGACTTCCCAAGGCTTAATTATTCATTAGTGGCCAGACACTCAGACCCCTAATAACCCAACATGGGCCCATTCTGCCCTACTGCTTCCCAGGACTGGCAGCCCGGGAGCCTGGGGGGTGGGGTGGGGGGGAGTGGGGAGACACTGAGGCAGGAAAAGGAGCTGGAGGTCCCAGATGCAGGGTGACCCCTTGTGGAAAAGTAAGGGATTAGGGTTGTTGCAGCAGGGTAACAGCTGTCATTCTGGTTAAGAATCAGAAGTGTCAGAGATGGGGTTACAGCTATGTGAAGACGGAGGACTTGGAGGGTTAGCACTCTGGAGAGAGTCAAGCCTGGGGGGCGCGACGATGCGAGCTGGAAAACGGGACCCAGGGCTGTTTTGAAGAAGCAAACAGTCCTTGGGGAGAACGCGGGATAAGGGAATGTGGGGCTGGAGAGAGAATGACTCCCGGGCTCCCTCCACTCACCACGAGGATGAGGGTCCCCAAGCACTCAGCAAGCGCCTGGCGCAGCAGCCGGTAACGGATGTGAAGCATCTCCCCGCAGCGGGACACCAGCTCCTTCTGTCGACCCATGGCAGGGGGTTAGGCAGCAGCTCTGTCGGGAGGGAAGGACGGCGGGCACAACGAGCAGTGGCCGCAAGAGACGGGTGGCGCCCTTTATAGGAGCGCGGGAAGTGCGGCCACGCCCGCCTCGCCCCACGCGGCAGCAAAGCTGGCGGCCCAGCCCCTCACCCTGCCTGGGAGAAAGAAGAGGGGCAGGGAGTGGGAGGCGCTGTGGGCTGAGGTGGTCCTGGAGGGCACTGAAGGAAGGGGTGTCACCACGGGGGCTGAGAGGAACTTCGGGTGTATTGACCAGTGTACAAGATCATGGTTGGTGAGGGTGGAGCTGCCAAAGAGAGCTGTGACATTCATCCAGTGAGCTGTGACATTCCCACCATGGGGTGAAGAAGAATGGGGGTGTAGAAAGGAAAGGAACTGGCTTCAACTCTGAAGACTGCTGGACCTAGCATGGCCCGGGAGTAGGGAGGTGGGAAGTGCCAAGGGAGCAACCCAAATGAGAAGAAGCAGATGAGACCCTCTCACAGTCCAGCCTTGGGTGGACACCAACCATGTGTGTTGAGTTCTAGCCAGAAACAGCCCTGGCTCCCTGTGCTGTGAGTACATGTCACATGATGTCTGTACTGGGTTCACACATGATACATGTCTCATGTGCCTAATCACACTTGCTCTCACGGTTGTGCACATGCCTATTGAACATGGCTAGGTAAACTGAGCTTGTCACAAACATACCTGAGTGTATTTTTCACGTGGTTCCAGAGGCTGAGCAGCAGTTAGCCTGACATGCCACATGTTTGCCAGCAGGGTAAGTCCCAGATGTTTTTAACCCTCTTCTTTCCAATTTTGGCTAATCCCAGGACAGTGGGAGAGCCTGTCCTTTTTTGTTTTTTTCTTAAATGTTTTATTGTGAATTATGTGATAGTTTACATGGGAGAATATTAGTTTTACATTCATTCTATCGTATATCATCTCATTGCCATGGTTACAATCCCCTCCATGCATCATCAACCAACCAACAGGTATACCCTGCAAGTCTGCCACCCACACCCCTCAGGTCTTCAGCACACAGTCCCTCTCCCTCTCTGGATCTAAAGTCCCCAGCTGCTCCATCGCTCAACGTCATCATCTCTGCCTCCATCTCAGGCATCACTGCTTCTCTGGGTAGGGTCCCGCTCTCCACTTCTCTTCTCCCTTGATGGTCCTAGGGACCTCCGCTCCTAGACTGGAAAGTTAATCACTCCCCTCCTTGCTATAAAACGTCT